TTTTTTTTTTTTTTCATGTTTTACACCAACTGTTGTCTCATTTCACCCACTTTTCTCTGTCCGTCCCCCTGGGATGGGGGCCTTACATCAATTATTAAAAGTTTTGTTGGGACATAATCCATACATATATACTTAATCAACTTTAGAACATTTTTGTCTCCACAAAAACTCCCAACCCATTAGCGTTCACATGCACTGCCTTTTTTAGAAGTCCAAATTAAAGGCCATGTTTCCTCTGGAGACTCAAGAATTGTTTTCTTGCCTCTTCCTGACTTCTGGTTATTATTCTTGACATTCTGTGACTTGCTGACTACTTCATTTCTGTCTCTTGGTTCACATAGCAGCTTCCTTTGTCGTGCATCTTGGTGTGGTCCAGTCACTGGATTTAGGGCCCACACTTCAATTACAACTGGAAAGACCCTATTTAAATAAGGTCTTGTTCACAGGCACTGAGGGGTTAGGAGTTTAATATATCTTTTGGGGGAGGGACACAGTGCAACTCAAGAGTTCACACTGGTTAGTGTAGTAAGTGTTTTAAGAATATGCTTTTCCTTCTTAAGCACCTCAAGAAAGTTTGCGGCCTTAAATCTGCCTAGTTCCTTTAGTGGTAAGCTGAGCCACGTTTGACGCATGCAAACCAAAGCTACATTCCCATTTACTTTTCAACCTGCTCTGAGGTGGTTCTTGATCTCCTTTTCAGAAGTATTGACCCTACTCTTTTAAAAAGTAGTCTGAGTATCACAAACAGCTTGCAAATTGGCTGCTAGCAACTTAACTGGTTGACAGTTTGAACCTTCCCAAAAGCGAAGGCCTGGCAGTCTGCTTGAGTGAAGTTCACAGGCCAGACTGCCCTGGGGAGCAAGCAGTCTGGCTTTCACATTGAGGGTCACCATGGGTCAGGGGTTGACTTGAATACCAGTAGCAACAACAACTCTTCTCAAGGTCGCCAGCAATCCCTCTTACAGATCCCTGCTTCCTTGGCTCCTTGTAATACAGTGGTTCTCAGTCTGTGGGCCGTGACCCGTTGGGGGGTCAAAATGACCTGTTCAACAAGGGTGGCCCAATTCATAACAGCAAAATGACAGTGATGAAGTAGCAATGAAAATAATGTTCTGGTTGGGGGTCACCACCACATGAGGACCTGTGACAGGGTCGCAACATGAGGAGGTTGAGAACCACTCTAATACATAACTGGTTTCTTCATCCCTTGATGCCTATTCCTTCTCCTCATCTCAACTAGAAGTGTTTCCTTGACCTCGTTTTTGAATGCTGCTCTTTCGCAGGGCTGTTTTCTAGATCTTCTCTTTCTGGTCTTCATGACTGTGCTCCACACTTGGTAACAGGTGACCTCCATGTAGATGTCTCAGAGACAGCTTTAAACTTCAGGTGTGCTCCGAGTTATCTGGTGCTGCCCTAGCAAAAGTACCACAAGGGAATGGCGCTTAATGAGCAACGGTTGATCTTCTCGGAGTTCGCAGGATAGAAGCTCACATCGAAGGCACCAGCTCGAGAAGACTGGCTCTCAGTCCCTGTGTGCGTGTGAGTGTAGCCGTGCGCGGTGGGGAAGCCTTGTTTCCGCTTTCACAGTTTCTTGGAGATATTCATGCAGTGTCTGTCTTTTCTGTCATTCATGTTTGCTTGTTTCAGTGTCTAATTTGCGCTTTGACTTCTCAAACGTGATTGGCGTAACACACATCTTTCACTAATACGGCCTCATTAGCTTCAAATAGAGTAGCATTCGTGAATTCAAGTGACATTCAGAAGTGTACAGGGGTTAGAATTTACAGCGCATATTTGGAAGTGAGTAGGTCAGTTCCTACACATGTTTTAAATGGAATATTTTGTTTCTTCCCCAAATTTTCCTTTCCTCCCTTCCAGTTTCTCAGTAAATGACAGCACGTCCGCCCTGTCTCACTTTTTTGAGTTTACCCACTGACACTGTAGTAGTAATCTTGACCATCAACATTTTTTGCCCCTGAAATATATGACAGTAAACCCCTAGCTCATAAATCACCTGTATGTTTTTACTACTTTTTTTCATGTGCCTCTTTTAGACTCCTACCACTCCTTCCTGCCGTAGCACCTACCACTCCTTCCTGCCATAGCACCTGTGCGGAACTTTTTCCTCTTCCTAGATTTCTTTTTAACTCGTCCATCTTTCTGTATCTCAAACTCAGTGTAAATGTCAGTTTACAGAGGCCTTGCCTAATCATGCTATCTATAGTAGATCTTCATGGCTGTATTCTCTATAACAGCCTTTTATTTCTTCTTCAATTTACAATTACATTGCCCTACAAAAGAACGTAAGACCCATGGTGACTGAAGGCCCTGCCTGTTTTGTTCATGCTGAACTCTCTATAATTTGCTGCCTAGAACATAATTCTTGTTCAGTACTTTTTTGGTTGGATTGAGATACCAAATGCTATCATGTCTACCTGCGTGGTTACACAGACTTGATGATAAATAACTCTTTAGTGCTTTGGAACCTTCCCAGAATCTGACAGCCAAATAAAAATTTAAAGCATTACTACATTTTAGAAATGGTGTCATATGTTGTATTTTTCTCACAAATATTTTTGAAAAGCAACCATGAATTTTTTCAACTGCTAAAAGTTGTTTAGCATCAACTAATAATGACTCTCTGTTGTTTCTAATGTGTGTAACAGGATGCGGAAAACGCCATTCAGCAGATGGGTGGCCAGTGGCTTGGTGGAAGACAAATCAGAACTAACTGGGCAACCCGAAAGCCTCCCGCTCCCAAGAGTACATATGAGTGTAGGTGTATTGGAGAAGAAAAGGAACGTACCCTAGCTTTTAAATGTTAGAGCTGTTCCGGAGACTTATTGCAGAAATAGATGAGAAGCAAATCAAGACTACTGTGCAAAAATGTACCTAGTTTTCATTTCTGTAATTATAACAAATGGTGTTCTCTCTAGTGTCAAGTCTCCTATTAAAAATAGAGAATTGGGGTAATTTTTAAGATACTCTGGGGGGAGGTTTAATCTTAAATTCAAATGTGATGTGTATTATGTAAATTGTTTGGTCGAGGTAAATACTAATATTATAGTAGTGTAGTTTGGGGGGACAGAAGGATTTCTCTTAAGTTGTCTCCCCAAAATATATGCCAGATTTAGCTTGAGAATGACTGACTGTTCACTAGGCAGCGAAAGTAGGTCAGAGATTATTCTCCCTAACATCGGCCATCTAGACTGTATAGTCTGACTCACCCTAAGTAAGGTCCACTCCCTTCTGATAAGGATAGCAGTTGTCTGTTTACTTGCAGGAGATACCAGAGAGGGCAAACCCGCCCAAGGATGACCAAGGTTAGGTAGCCATTATCGGCTGTCTAGATCAAGGAGACACCACTGTTTATCCCACAACAAATATGGGCACACCCCTAGGTTATCCCCCTCCTATTGATTGCATTGCCTATGTTGCTACCCCTCCCTGTGACTTAGGTTATTGTCTGCTATCAGGGGACTCATGCCTCCCAGAATAGTAATTGTCTGTTTTATTGTATGAGACACCAAACTTGTTCTAGGATGAATTGTATTGCCCCTTTTCTGTGATATATGGCTCTGTAATCAGATCCCCCTAAAGTGAGATGATACATGGTTAGCAATAAATAGGGAGGCTCCCTGGCCCATGAGAGAGGTATGGACGAGAGGGTGCTCCCAGAGTGGGGCTGAGGAAGGAGGGCGGCTCCCATGAGGGAGGTGGACGAGGGCGGCTGTTCCCACTCTAGCCGCTGGGTTCCCCCCCACGAGGACCACTAAGCGGGGTGGAGGTGAGCAATGCTACCATGTAATATGTCTGACTGTATTATTGTATTATCTCTCATGCTCTCGATAACTTCAATATAATGCTTATATATCTCAACCGTACAATTGTGTATTACTGAGTCCGCGATTAATGGTGGGGGCTGTCTCCCCCCCCCCACCCACCGCACCATTTTAATTTAATACTACAGTAGTTAATGCTTTTTTTCTTTTGTCTTTCCAAACATTTTTAGTCATAAATTAAAGATAAAAACTATCTTTCCCCAGCAAACACCAAACAGCTGTCCTATGATGAAGTGGTCAATCAGTCTAGTCCGAGCAACTGTACTGTATATTGTGGAGGTGTGACGTCTGGGTTAACAGGTAGGAAGCCTTACTTGTATAGCATCCTGAGATAACTGTTAAACTGAGCAGTGTAGTATTTACAGAGTTTTCATATAGCTATATGATTTTTTTTAAGCCTCTTTTTGTTTTTTATGTAACAGAACAACTAATGCGTCAGACTTTTTCACCATTTGGACAAATAATGGAAATTCGAGTCTTTCCTGATAAAGGATACTCATTTATCCGGTAGGATTGTTTTTGTTTTTTAAACAAATAAGTTTTGATTACTTAACCTAGTCATTTTCCTAAAAGCTTACAGTGGTTAATAAATAGAGATTTCTTTAGTAGTTAGTTTTGTTTTGTTTTATTTGGTCTTTTCATTTCTCTCACAACACAAAAGCAGCAAACCATCTTTATTAAAATGTTTCTCACAACTAGAATACCATATATACGGAATTATAAGCTGACCCGAATATCAGCCGAGGCACCTCATTTTACCACAAAAACTGCATTAAAAATATGCGGAAAAACTCGCCTTATACCTGAGTTATACTGTATCTTTTAAAATGGGGAAAGGGGGAGAAAACAGGCCATTTCATTCTTTCTTGTAAAGCTGTCTGTTTTTACCTCAGCTCAGCTTGATTTTTGAAGTAAACTTTATTCATAAGCATTTAAAATAATTTGTATTGGTGATTCTTAATATTGTCTTCAACAGGTTTAATTCCCATGAAAGTGCAGCACATGCAATTGTGTCTGTGAATGGTACTACCATTGAAGGTCATGTTGTGAAGTGCTATTGGGGCAAAGAGACTCTTGATATGATAAATCCTGTGCAGCAGGTGAGAGGGTTCTTGACCTGGAATGTATTGCTGAGCTAATCATAAAGGTTATTTTTATATGAAAATTGTTGCTAATCCCTGTTAATAAGTTCCTACCTAAAATGGTAGCGTGGAAGGGTTCTTCCTACGTGGATGATAGTTCCAGAGTGGTGGGACAGGGATTGCAGTGGTGACTTGGTGAATGTGTGCCCACCTCACTTCACTCAGACTCACACAGTGGACTTTAAAATGCTCCGACAAACCTAACAGGGTATTAAATCTTTTTTAAAAACTTGGTAGATTTATTCTCATACTCTTTGAAGGACTTTGAACAAGCATGCTTGACCCAACTGAAACAAACTTGCGAGTGGTAATGATATTCCTAGCCTAAGCATTTTCTTTTACACGCTGCTTGTGTTTTTCCAGGCAGCTTTAGTGGTTCCAACTGTGCCCACAAAAATTGGTTAGGAGGAAGCTGTAGATGGAGCATGGAGGTGGGAGTAAGAAAATCCTAAATGATAAAGGTCTCCCGTGAAAATAAGCTGAATATAAGAATAATTACTCCTATCTTTCTAAAAGAATCAATCATGTGGGTCATTTGTAAAACATTTCAACGTGCTGAGTTCAATATTATTACTAGGACATTTATCCACTTCCTTATAAAAGGCCTCCGTTCAGAGTATCATAAAGAGTCATAAGAGAATGACCTCACTTTATTGTTTTTATTTTTAAGCAGTCACTAAACTTGTTAATCCTGCCTTTTTAATAGTAATAATAGCACTGTTGACTGAGTACTTATGGACCATTTCTGTACAAATAATTTCAAATAGTACTAACTTACCTCTTAAATTTTTATTTAAAAGCAGAATCAAATTGGATATCCACAAGCGTACGGCCAGTGGGGCCAGTGGTATGGAAATGCACAGCAAATTGGCCAGTATATGCCTAATGGTTGGCAAGTACCTGCATATGGAATGTATGGGCAGGCATGGAATCAACAGGGATTTAAGTAAGCACATTTGCTCTTTTTATAAAATGTCAAGAATTTAATCAGTAGGTAATGTGGCCCTCTATCTTAAGCATAGCTTTCAACTGAAGGGAATGGAAGCTTAAAATTATTCTTAATTTATAGCTTGAAATGCTTTTCAGTAAAATACTATCTGGGAATGTATTTAACTTGGTGATGTTTGGCAGTGACTCAATTTTTTTTTAGTAAGAAAAGAACTATGACACGCAAGTCAATTTTGAATTTAGTTATTTTGATGCCAGTTTTATTCAGTATACTTATTCCCTGTAAATGCACTTATCTATACATTGTTTTTATGTCAAACTTCTTTAGGCAATTCTAAACTAAATGCAATTTTACTTAAGTTTCTGAAGAACTGGGTATAAAAGTTTTTCCAATTATAAAATTTTATTTTTGTAATGTTGCAAAAATCTATGGCCTATATTCTAACAATTGTTTGAACTTCTTTGAGTAATTTAATGTAAAGGCTAGCCTTTATCAACCTATGCCTGAGCCAGATGGGCACTATTCTTTCTGAGAGGGGGGTTGGTTTTTCTGTTTGTTTGTTTTCAGTTCAAAGGGCATAAGTGTTTATAAAGTTAAGAGTACTGGCTGTAATTCCTAACATTTAAATTTGGGAGTGCTTGGCTTAAAAAGAGAAAAAAAATTTTTTCACCTTTGCTTTCTCTGTGAAACAGTTTTTCTTATTTGGGGGTTTGGTTTAGTCTTTTAAAGGATATTTCTTATTTCCCATAAACCTGTTATTTGTTTTTGGCATTGTACTTTATTTTATTCAGTGGATTTCCCCTTTTCTTTGTCTTTCACATTCTCTACCAGTCAGACACAGTCTTCCGCACCGTGGATGGGTCCAAATTATGGAGTGCAGCCACCTCAAGGGCAGAACGGCAGCATGTTGCCTAACCAGCCTGCAGGGTATCGAGTGGCGGGGTATGAAACCCAGTGAGCAAGGACTCCAGAATCGAAAGCTACATGCAGTGTAGTAAAGCCTTGTTTACTTAAAGATTTATCAAATCAGTCAGTGCAAATGTCAGATACAATGTATTTATTTAAAAGATCCATTTTTTAATCATGAAATTACTTATCCACATTGTTTTAAAAAGAAACAAGATGCTGGATGTCTGCCAATTTTTGCCTTCATTACCTTTTTTGATAAAGTTTCTCAGATCCTTGTTTCAAAAAAAATGCAGGGATTGCTGCCACTTTTTAAAATTAAGAGGCAGAAAATTGCACAATGTTGAACTTTTCTCCACTGAAGTAGTGTGCAGTTCTAGTTTGCATTCCTGATAGGACGTAAAACATGTAAGACACAGATGTACAAAGAAGAAGAACCAAACCCGTGTGCAGCGTTTGGAAGTGGCTTGTTACCCTCCTCTGTGCGCACTTGTGTTTTAGGTTAAAGAAAAAAGGCGTCATTTGAACTGTCCCATCTCTACTTTTGATCCCCTTGGGGTTTTTTTAATGTAAATTATTAGTTTACATCATTTTTGTATCTACATTTTTTCACAAATTTGTCTTGCCTTATAAATATTCTGTAAAATACACTTAAAAGATGATGTTCACTTAAATTGAAAACTTTTCTCAGATGGATTGATAATTGCATTCATTTTGTGTTTTATATGAGAAGGTGCCTCAAGAATTCCCTGTTGGATTTGTTGAAAGGATTTTTATCTTCTGTGATAAACTTTGCTGTGTACCAGGAAATCTAAAAACAAAAACTTGTTACTAAAGAATATCTCTGAAATGTGATAAGTTCTTATGAACCCATGTTAATTTCATGTGTCAGCGTCTACATTTATGTGTACTATTTCAGTATGTAAAATGTTTTAGCAATTTAATATTTTGCACAATTAGCGAACTTTGTATGTTGTTTCCTTCTTAAAGGTGTCATGCAGAGTTGACATGAGATTTATAAGGTTTTAAGTTGTTTGCATGTGAATATCAAATACACACTTTGGTAGTCTTTGAATACAAAGTCATCTGCTCTTGTTTTTCAAGAATTTTGAGACATAAAATTATATGTAAAAGAATATATTAATTTGCCATTTTCTAGTTAGATTTACTCAAAAGGAGCAAATCAACTTAATTATATTATGTACAAATGGTAGCTGTGAAACTGTGGACTATCCGTGTATCAGACTTAGGGTTCTTTGTGAACTCTTATTTAATATTAGCCTAAAGGACCAGCCGGGCAAAGCATTTAAAAATGTTCAGAGGCCAAAAACAAACAAAAACACTTAAATCCTACCTCCTTAAAGAGCCTTCAAAGAGGAGAGAATCCTCAGTGCAATCGTTACTTTATTGTTTTGGTACCTGTTTTCCCGGAGTTCCCGCTTTTATCATTTTGGGGTGGCTCCGAACATTAAGAGGTTTAATCTTTGATGGCGTTGTTCAAGTTTTGACATTTCTAGTACATTTCAGTCTTTTTAGAAGAGTTGTGGAAAGTTTTGTTTTGTATTTTCAGTGAAGGTCACAAACTAGCTTCCATACTTAGATGTTTTCTTGTTGTTTAAGACCTTCAAATAACTCCCAGCATTTTATTTAGGAAAAGAAAAATGCCTGTGGAATTTTAGGGTTTCCTGCCCTGTATCTTCCAGGTGGGAGCAAAGGACTCGAAACTGGCCTCTAAGCCAATACACTTATTTCTAAGCCAGAGCCCAGGAAGGACAGCTCACAATGTGTAATTCTCTGGAGCTCAATTCTATGCAGTTGTGCTGATGTTTCATTAAGTCACTGTGTATTTTGTGTTGGTACATTAAAAGTTGTTTTATGGAAGTTAAGTAAATTTTTTTAATACTTAGAAATTTTATTTCCTTATTAACTTTCACAAATCAGGGCATGCAACCAAAAGCAGCTTAAATAAAATACTCTTTAAAAATTAAATATCAGGAAGCTATTTTTAGCTGACTTATGTTTCAATTTTAGACTCCTCATTATTTTCTGTTACTCAAAAGTATTTTTATTTCCTGAGCATCTTATAGACTGCAGGGTAAATTATTTGGGTATAAATAATTTAAGCAAAAGCATAATTTTTCTTTTATTTTGGCTATCAAGAATTAACACTTTTTATTAGCCAGTATATTTTCATAATGCACAAATATGAAAATGTACATTAACTACTTGAGAAGATTATAATGTCATTACTTATGATGGAAAGGTTACTACTGAACAGATTCTCATTTCAGGAACAGAGCTAACTTCTATTTAAACTTTACTCTTAGTGTTGAGACAATTCATCTAAAGATTTTTTCAAAACTCATACTGGTGTTAGTATCAGGTAAGGAAATTATTTTTTCTAAAATTGCTTCATTCTCTGCAATATGCTTTCAGATTTTTCTTTAAGATACTTCTGGTACTGTAAAGAACCTAAAGTAATTCACATTTAATGGTCATTAATCCAGTATCCTTTATCCTGACTGTTTGGATATTAAAGTTCCTTTATGTTTTCTATAGCCTGTGGGATCTTCTTGCAGTGATTATTGTGTGTGAGAAGTTTGGGGTTATTCTTTTGGGTACAGCTGTATTGTCACATTTACTGGTTTTTTTGTTTGTTTGCTTTTTCTTTTTAAATCTTAGTCAAGAAACCATGGTTTCTATTGGGTTACTGTTTAATATCACAAAGAATTGGCCCTTTGTAAATATAAATAATGATGAAACAAGGATCTAATTTTTCTTGTTCTCTCATTGTTGAAAATAAGATTCAGATTCTAGTTTTATTCTTCTCGTTCTTCTTCAATTTATATGTTTGCTAAATTTTATTCCCTTGGAAAATGCAGTTAAGAGATAGATTGCATTTACAAAAGGAATTTGTTTCATCAACTGCTCTAAAATGCTCAAGGCTACAGTTGAGTGTGAAAATAAAATGTGTTTATAAGAAATGCCAACCTTAATAGGGAGCGAAGATTTCTAAAAATAATTGGTTGGGATCTATTGCATATTATCTCTGTCACTGTGTTTAACTATTATGTTTAGAAATTGGTTAAACATACCTCCCAAAACATTGCTTTTTCATCGCTTTAGTAAATGTATGTGATTAAATATCAATGGAATAGCACTGTAGGAGACTTTGATTTATCTGGAATATGTAGTTAGGGAGAGCCAAACTTGAAACCTGCAGGTATTAACAGTAGTATGTCTTGAGTGACATTCTGCTCATAGAATTTTCCTCCTCTTCAAATAATTTTCTAAAGTCCCAGAGCCAAAGGCAATATTTTTGCCAAGATTTACTAGGAACTACACTATAGCAGGTATGTCTCAAATTAGTAGCTGAATTTATTCTATGAATAATTTAGCTAAAATGGTGAAAACAATCTCTTGACTCAGGGTATTCAGCCAACACAAGTAACCTGTACGTATGGGAATTATGCAGAATTTTGCATGCTGAATAATCGATAGATTTTTATCTTTAATCAGTTCTAGAATACCAACAGCCAGGCAGAGTTATGGTAGAAGATCCTTTCCTCGAAAAATTAAACCACTCCCAAATGAAGAAACTACATTTGTGGGCCCCAGTCAAAAAATTGGGCCACCAACCTGTCTTCAGTGAAGTACATAGTTAATAAGTCCTGCCCATGTACACAACTGTTCCAAGTGAGGTTTTAATGCTTCGTTTTAAATAAGGACAAACTAAGCTCACTGAACTTGTTGCAGAAAACTGTGATCCTGAAAAGTAGATCTAAACCGAATACAATTGGCAGCCAAAACTAATTGCCGCAGATAAAATATTACATGTAAGAATTATAGTAGAATATGTTAAGATATTGCAAAAATTTAAATTTCAGTGAGACTATAAAGAAAAGAAGATGGTCTGTAGCAGCAAATCCGTGTATAAGGGGAGGGGTCAGTTGGGAGGTATAATATCTAATGGAACAGAAAATAGGAAAGATAGAATTTTTATGGAAAACAAAATTTTATCTGGTCAGTTGATGAGTCTCACTATTGAAAAAAGGGTGCGTAGCTATGAAAATCCAGATGGGCGGCAAAAGGGGCTGGCCGATCATTGTGTTTGTTGGTCTGGATTGTTGTCTAGAGCAACAAAAGCAGTGACATCATTATATGTCTATGTATAGATACCTAAAGAAATGTTATACTGAAACAACATCCAGCCCAGTCCCACTCGAGTCTAGAAGTTTGAGGCATTCTGGAGCCATCTTCAGACACACACAGGTGCAGATAAGTCAAGCAGGATGTGGGACATCACAGGCCAGGGGTGCAGAGTCATGTGGGTCCACAGCCCATGAAAACATGATGGGACACCAGCCGTGCACATAAGGCTACCCCAGAGGCAGGCAGAGCCCTCACAAACAGGAAGGAAGAAGTTAAGAGAGTTGGAGGGTCGGGATGGGACTCCCAGTTTCTCCTGGGAAGGCCCCCCCGCGTCCCCCGCCCCCCCCAGCTGTGACCTTATTGACATGTTGGATTCCACCTTTACACACCCATACAAAGTCAAGTTGATGTGAAATCAAACTGCCACACTCAATTTCTAAGGACTGAAAATATAGCCACGTGTCCAGCCGTTCAGGCAACATTTACCTACATATATGCATCAGTACTGGATTCCAAAATTCCAGTTGGAGAATAGTACATAATGAACAGTCTTCTGCACATGTGTACATTTTAACCTGTGTATAAAGTGATTGAGTTTCCAGGTGTGGACTGGTACAGTATATATACATGGATGCTTCAAAAGGATTGTGGAAATTTTTCAATAATTCCACGTTGGCTTTTTTCCACAAACTTTACATCTCCCTCATAGAGCTTAATAGTCATAATAAACAGTTACTGACTTAAGTATGTATTGCCCTTCTGTCTGATAAGTTTATTGTAAAATGGGGTGTGTTTCAACTCGGCAGTATTCAGTCTTATATATCCCATACCTGAAGTCTTATGCTGTTACTTATGTGTGATCGTCTTTCAAACATTAGCGTGAAATGCATCGTGGCTCTCAAATGCAGCAAACCAGGGCTAGTGGTAACAGCAGGAGGCAAAGGAGGGAGGGTACATTTGGCAGTGAAACAAAAGGTTACTAAACCACACCAAAAGAGAGAATCGGTGAATGTTACTGCTCATGATTTAGGCATGTTGTACTTAACAATCACTATGATCTTCCAAAAAGCAATTTTCCGAGGTATTAAGGATAAGTTCCGTTGAAAGCTACAAGGCTCCCGAACGTGCCGAAGGAGCAATGCCAGGCATGGAGAAGTTCCCTAATGTCGCTGAGTGAGAGCCAAACAAGTTAATCCCTCGGCACACTGCCCATCCCTGCCAAGGTGCGAAACTTGAAGTTAATTAACGAAATAGGACCGAGTTACAATATCGTGTTTGTACAATGTCCAAATCTCACAATGTTCCATTTCACAGAGCATATTGTGAATGCTAAGTGATGAATTAGTTTAATAAAAGCTTTATTTTTATTAAAAGATCATTTTATTGGGAGCTCTTACAACTTGTAACAATCCATACATCAGTCGTATCAAGCACATTTGGACATGTGTTGCCATCATGTACTTTGTATTGAGCAGTGCAAGCTTATCTTAAAGCACATCATTGCTGTCAAGTTGATTCTGACTCTTGGCAACCCTGTGTGACAAAGTAGACCACTCCACGGGGTTTTCTTGTTGAAAGTCTTTACAGATCACCAGGGTCTTGTGGCAAAGTACTGCTGAGTGGGTTTGTATTACCAGCTTTAGGTTAGTCAAGTCCAGACCATTTGTGCCACCCAGAACCTTGTTCCAAAAACCAGTTTCACCATTCAGCCCTTGGGAAACACATAGCAAGAAATGTTAATTATGTATATCACAACTCGAATAAAGGAATGGATTTTCAGAGGATGTGTATACTGTTTCTGTGGGATACTGACTTAGAAACTGAGTGGTGGGGTAAAGAAACGTGAATTCTATTCATTGTATTACATATTGTTCAATTGCTGTGCCAGTGCCAGAGAGTACCCATTGCCCCTCCCCTTCACCAATGATCTGTGTATTACTCAAGTTTTATTTTGCCCATCTGATGATTGTAAAATTATCTCTTTAATTATATTTTCCTGATCACAAGTAAAGGTATCTTTTTTTCATTTGTTACTTATCATTTATATTTTTTTTTCAGTGACTTGTCTACTTTTATCCTTTGTTCATTTCTTGATTGGATTCTTTCACTGCTTTTCTGGAATTGGTCTTAATCCTTTATGTAGTTTAGACATTATCAAATCCTCTGGAAGAAAACTGTATATACCCGTGTATAAGCCGAGTTTTCCAGCACATTTTTAATGCAGTTTCCCTGGTAAAATTGGGTGCCTCGGCTGAGATACGGTTGGCTTATCCTTGAGCATGTACTTCTCTTTGGGCTTCTCAGGGTTACTTCAAATGAAAATCAGTTGTGATCTGACAATCAGAAACCTGAGCCTATGAGCGATTCAAAAGAAACAAATAGCAGATCGATGACTTTAGACATTATAATAATTATGCACTGAGTACCAGCTATTTTGTGCCTTTAAAAATAAATGCAAGAAGTTATTGTCACACAAAAAGAAACACTGGTGGTTCCCATGGGCAAGACTGAAAGGAAGAGCACCACTAAGAATAGACGCATTAACTTCAATGAGGGGAAGGCACTACTCAAGGGAAGGTCAGCCAGTTTTCAAGCCAACAGTACTGGGAAGGGAGTACAAGTGTTAAAGACAACTGGTAAGTATTATATGCACAATTCTAAAATACATGAAGGAAGAGGTAAACTTGTAAATTGATTAGAAGCTAATAGAATCTCTAGAAATTAAGTCAATGTTGCATTTACATAATCTCAACTTGTGAAGAGGTGGTGTGTCTAGCCTATCAGGTAATAGCCAATAATGTCTCTGTGGGCGTGGCCGCCTGCTCAGGAGTCTGGGAACGCCTGTTTTCCTCCCTGAAGGTGGAACATACGGCCTCTGCTTGACACTCCTGTTGACAAGCTACATGGAGCTGCACTGGTAGAACCGGAGCCGTGGAGCTGGAGGAGCCACATGGAGACCCCAGTACCAGTGCTGAGATGCTACCACCACCACTGGATCCACAGGACTTTCCACCCACTGGCCTGTGATCTTCCTGCATTCAGCATCATTGCATGTGTTATGTGAGTTTGCAGAGGAATTTACAGACTGTTATCGGACATATGGGCTAATATTGGACTTAGGGACTTGATCAGGGCTGGGCTGAGATGTTTTCTTAATATACAATTACTCTATATAAAGCTCGTTCTTACACACGAGTCTCTCTGGATTTGTTTCTCTAGTCAACCCAGACTAATACAGGCAATAACAAATTTAAAATTCATTATACCAACTAAACAACAGATACTGCTGAAGAACAGAACTTGTAAATTCAAACAGTAAAGGAAACAAGAGTAGAACATACAGAAATAGGAGGTGAATTCCAAAATACATTTAAATTGGCGTTCTGTAAGGATAGAAAAAGAAATT